ATATATATATATATGAGCTGAAATGTCTTTAACCAAAAACTAAACTCAATTTTTACTACACGGAATGTCTTCAGTAGTGTAGTAAACTTACAATAAGGGAAACAAGAGACTTGAGTACAAGCAGAAAAGCATGGAGGTAACACAACTTAAATCTTTTGAGATCACAATTGTCATCTCACCTGCCCCTTCAGTGTAACAAACATTCTGATAGGACTTATTATTTTTGATTTTGCAAACTTTGCTTTTTTTTTTTTTTTTTTTTTACTTTTACAGACGTGCTGATGGTGGTTTAACCACAAATTCTAGTATAGAAAGCTTAAAACAACATGACTGGCAGTGTAGAGCACAGGAGTATTTAAAAAAAATTGTAACAATTTTAAAACACAAGTTAAACAATTAACAAGCAAAGAGATAGCTGTAAATAAGAACTAAACTAAAGTCTATACAAGGAAACTATAAATTGTCTCTCTCCTAAAAAAGGAGTGTTTCAATAATTACTGTGGTCTGATGCATGTATTTTTTTTCTTTTTGTCATTGAGGACGATGTTTAAAATTTTCAGAGATGAAATTGATGCTTTTAACTTTCAGGACTGACAAAAGGTGCTTGAGCGCCATTCAAAAAAACACTCCTCTTCATCTTTCTCCAACAGTGCGCAAAAAATGTCTACATTCAATTAGTCAGGAATTTACATAACAAAAACTTCAACTTCAGAGCAAATATATAATAATATGAATGCCAGTTTGCATCTTCAGTTTTAAACATTTCACAATCTTTTAACAAAGTAGTTTTCTGCATCTCAACCATGACCACAGTGCTGTATCCTCCTCATGAAGCAGTGCAGTCTGTATACGTGGTCACCATGTTTCCTCTGCGCTGGGTCACTGTTCGACAGTGCTGTTTCGGTGCGCCATCAAACTTGCTTTCTGTCTGTTTGGCATGTTTGTTGAAAGTAAACATTCTCTCCATGTCTTCAAACATGTCATCAAAGACACCTGCTCCAAAACCACCCTGGAAGTGTCTCTTGTGTCTGCTGTAGGACTCCTTGTTGGACCTGGACTGGTCTTCAAAGTGTCTCCTGTGTCGGTTGGCGTGTCTGTTCTGGCTGTAGATGTTGAAGTCCTTAAACATGTCGTCAAAGTTGAAGCTGAAAGGTTGGTGAGAGTCTGATCTCTTTCCGCCCTGCGTCTCCCTGGTGAAGTAGGAAGTATCACCGAACTGATCGTACTCTCGTCTCTTGGACTCATCTGACAGAACTTCGTACGCTGTGAGTAACAAAAGCATGGATTTTAGATAATGCAGAAGAAGTTAGCAGAATGTTAGTGGGGCTGGACGACATGGCTGAAAAATGTATCAGGATATAAGCTTTTCATGTCAGTCGATGTCAATAATCATTGATTAGTTTGTTTGTTTTACCTATTTGAAATAAGGACCAGGAGAAAAAAGGGCTGATTAATTCTGCTAAACTGGTGATGTGAACTTTCCTCCTTATCCCCAATTTCCTCTTGAGCTGTGGCACTCGTTTTCTTCTTTCACTCATCATTCTTTTGTTTTACTTTGGAGCAATTATAATGCCAACAACCTTGCTAAGCTGAACCATGAGGGGTCAAGGGACTAAAGCCTTTTCTCTGCCTACATCCCCCAGAATGCCGTGCGATTCTGGACCAGAGTTCAGTGAAATTATCAACATTTTATTGGATGTATTTTCTATTGATACTGATCACATGCCTATTAAAATATGCATATCATTATTGTTTTATTGCCCGGCCCTAGTTAAAAGGTTTATAAGTTTGAGCACAGCTCTGTGTGTTTTTAAAACACTAGATGTTGTGTATCAGAGCAATCCAATAGAGTTGTTTTGAAATGATAAAACAAGTGCATTCTGAGGGTCCTAGTAGTTAAAAAGGGGTCAGTAAATGAGTGTGAAAAGTACTTTTTGGTTATGTTGAGATGCACTTTTAGTGAATATTTGCGAAACATTTTTGGGGAACAGGTGAGTTTAATCTACACTAAACCACAAAGCATGCTGTTGTGAAGTCTCTACATAAAATGATTTATACTGATTATTTTCTGTCAGTATCACCTGTCATTAGTGTACCTACAGCAAATTAACTGATTCAACAAGTTTTTTTCCTTTAAAACCAAAATTATTCCTGTTAGAAATCCATTAAAGACAACAAGAACAACTGTACCTTCAGCAATTTCTCTGAATCTCAGTTCAGCATCTGGACTCTTGTTCTTATCTGGGTGGAATTTCATAGCGAGCTTGTGGAAAGCCTTTTTTATCTGGCGTTCAGCTGCACCTTTGGGCACTCCCAGTATATCATAGTAGTCCTTCCTGGCGAGAATCAGCTCTGTTATCACCAGGATGCACACTGCAAACATCAAGACAGACTGTGCAGCTGCCATGGCTCCAGTCTCCCCTGCATTCAAAATAAAAGACTCTGTGTGACATCTCTGATTTAGAAAAAAAAATATGTTCTTACTCGAGTTTATTATTCCTTCAGCTTGGTTTTAGCTATGAAATAACGTTTTAATTACCCTACAATAAAAAATACAATACGTAGACATATCTTGTTCTATATCATCATATCTGTACATTCATGTAGCTTATGTTGCTAACACGAATTACCGTCCTCCTGACCGACTCATTTAATTAAAAAACATATTATCTACCGTCTGGAGAACACTGTCCTACCTTCTTCTTTTAAAATAACTCGCAGTTTTTACTCAGCTACGGAACGCCAAACATGATTTGTGTTTTGTGATAATATCGACAAACAGCGGTAAAAAACCGGTTTTGTATTTCTTCTTCGCTGGTTTAGGAGAATCTCAACCACAGTTACCAGTGTTTCTCTGCCCCCTGTTGGTCATTACTGGTATTATCCGTGTTCAACTTCAGCAGGGGACTTTGAGTAAACTCAGATTAAAAATATATATATTATATATAATCTGAAATGAAATAATTCTAATTTTATGCATTTATATATGCAAGAATTGCATTTTGTTGTCATAGATAGAATAACATAGATGAAGAAGTGCTCTCTTACCTTTTTTATTTTTTAGATTAAAAACCCAAAATTATACATCATTTAATAACAGACCATTCTATATTGTAAAACTAACTTTACAAAAAGTTAAATGTGCTTTAAAATAGTAAAATATTGAAATAAGGTCAAACTAAAGTCACTTTCCAAAATAAACTTGTATATGTCAAACAATTAACATCTGCACAAGACCAACATATGAATAAGTCTGTAGATTTACTAAATTAATTTGGGGGCCAACCTTTTTTTCTACTACAGACCCTATTTTATATTGTGGAAAAATAATATGAATATAATATATTTACAGCAAAGACATAAATTAAGCCAGTTTGTTGGACATTCAAATGGATTGCATTCATAAAGCCTGAGGCATACAATTACTTCTTTGAGCTTGAGTGTTTTTCCATTTATCAAGTGTTGCACAGAGTGCGGAACCAACAATGATCAGATGAGCGTCCTCAGCCAATCAGCAGCTTCCATTTATCAGCCAAATTTTAGACAACCAATGGAGAAGCAGAACGCGAACCACGTGACGCTTGTTTTACTTTCGACCGTCATCTTCGGTCTGGAAATTTCAGGTCGATTATAGAACTATGTTGTGAAATAGAGCTGTGTTTTGTGTCAACGCTAACGGAGGAAAGCGACGTAAACTAAACGAATGAGTGATTTCGGACATTGTTGGGGCGACAGCGTTTAGAGCCTGGTATGACTTGTTACAGCTTGTGTGGCCTTTCTGAATGTTAGCTGCGCTAAGCTAGCTAGTCACACTGAACTGTTGTGTATGAATCGGTCTTTAAATGAGCTCTTAGAAAACAGTATTTCTCGCGATAAAACAAACTGAATCAGGTCTCATGGTTAGTACTTTCTTTATTCCCATTTAATTCTTGTTTTCCTTAGTTCTGTTTTTCATTTTTTAATGTTTTTGCCATTTTAATCCTTACTTTTTGTTGTTCATCATCAGGTTAATGACAAAAGTCAAGAAAAAGAGCATGTTTACCTAATTTTCTTCTGATACCCTACTTTATCTGAAACAATATGAATCACCGATGGGCTCCTGCTTGGATGAGACTAGGTCGAGCATCTTTTATGTGGCAAAGCCATTCTCCCAAGTCAGTAGCATCACTTCCCTTGTTTGGTACCTTTCACTGTGGGATTCATGAGCATCAACGGCCTGTTTCCTGCCATGCTGGTTATCTCAGTTTGAAGTACTTCCACAACCCGAGGATCCGAAGCAGAAAGGGATGGATCTTCAAATATCAGGCTAAGCAGCGGCTCGGACTCCACACCAGCTCCCTGTGTTTGAACACTTCAACTTCACGGTGGTCTGCCAGCCTGAGCCAGCACATGTCGCGGGTCAGGAGCACTCTGGACACAGTTTCAAAAGCTGTGAGTGGGACCCACACAGAACTTCGGTCCAAAATCTCTCGCCTCAGAGGAAATACTTTAAAGGCCGAGAAACAAGCTGAAGTAAGCATGAAATCGCCACAAAAAGCTGAGGAGAATGTAGTCTCAACCACTAATAGTCCTCTGCATTCTGCATCTACTGCGCCTCAGCTTATCGCACAGTCACCTCCTGCGTGCCCCGATTTTCCCTCTTCTGCTGCTGCGTTGGATGCAAGGGCCACTACCTCCACCTCTCCCAATGCTTCCACCCAGGTGACCATCACAGCTGCAGCCGTGACTGTAAGTGAAGACGAGAATAAAAAGCAGAGACGTGTCGCTCCTGCTTGTCGTGCCAAAAGGATGGAGGAGCTTCCCACATTACTTAAAGACGCCGAGAGCAAGGGCACAACTCTCAAAGAAGCTCCAGGCCTTTTCCATCCTAGCTCCTTGCCGGTCAACCTGGATGACACTTACACCTACCTGGCTCATCACATCAACTCCTATTTTGGCAGCAGCTCAGAGACTCTGGACAAGAAAGGGGAGAGCGCGGACCCTTCCTCCTCCCAACACGAACAATCCTCGGTTGCTGCGTCTGACAAAATCGAACCAGCTCCTTCAGTCGCCTCGCCCTCCTCCAAGAGGAGTTTGGGACAGTACCTGTCCTCTTCAGCTCCAACCGTGCAGGCGTTTGTTGGGAACTACATCGCTCCGCTTGTTCCCAAGTTCAGGACGGGAGAGTCCAAGAGTGCAACGCTGGAGGAGAAGAAGACCGAGGACGTGTCAGGAAAACAGGTTGAGGCCACGGTCAGTAAAGAGCAGGCGGCTGCAGAGGAGAAAGCCAAGAAACTTGTGCTTCAAAGGGAAAAGGTAGGCGTGCAACACAGAAATAGTTTTATTTAACAGTTTTCCTTTTGTAGCAAAAATCAGAGGAAGTAAACAACTACTTGATCACCTTATGAAAAATGTAATATTTCTATCATCAGTTGAAGGAAGGCAAAAGAGAAACAATTTTGCCCATACCTGTGTATGTTTTCATCATTAGTTAAATGACTAATGAACCATTGGATATATCTCATTATACATGTACAACTGATCAACCCAATTCAAGATGGCCATCACAGCCAACTAACTACAGAAAACACAAAAATGTTTACATTTCATTTTTACTGATAAACCTTTGCTTAAAACTTTGACATTAACTGTTGGAAGTCTACAACTGATTAACACCTAGATTTAATCCAATTTAAGATTGCTGCCACAGCTAATTGACATTATCCAACATAAAAATGGCTTTAACTCAACCAATTTTACCAATATTGAGCTAAAATTTGATTTTATACTAGCTGAGAGTCATTCACAAAACATAGAGGGTGAAATTATGTGACTGCTTTTAAGTTTTGACCATAACAACTAAAATTCCCAAATTTCTCAGCAGAAGCTAATTTTAGTTTAATACTCTGGCATGAAAGCTTTATGCAAGCTTTATTTCACTTTGCAGCCAAGACTTCAGTTCTGGCTGAGGTTTGATTTATTTACCTGCAGCTCAACAAACCCTAGTGCCAACAGGAGACAGTGCAGAGTGTGTGAGATGATGTTGCAGACTGCCTGCTGTTCTGACATCACTCTGTAGGTCAGATGACAGTGTGCTTACATTCGGCCTGAGTTCTAGGAATCTGTTTTCAAAAATACCACTCCCTCCTCCTGCAGAGGTTGTAGTTCTTAGCAACTCTGTAACATGTATGTTGAGGTTTAGAAACATTTGACATCAAAGTTATGGCAAAACACAGAGATGTTACTTAGTAAATACATAAAAAGTGCACTTATTTTCTATTTAGTCCTAAGTATGTTTTAATTCAGGTGCACAGTTAACCAGAGTACTTTTGGCTTCTACGTTTATTTCTGATCTAATGATTTTATTCCTCTTTACTGTTGTGTAAATGCGTTTTAGTTTTGGTTAAACGATAGATGAGCTGATTAACACTTAAGGTTTTAGTTGATGCAAATAAAACTAATTAGTGCTTAAAACAAAGCTTGAAGTTTTTGTTTCTTAGTCATTCAATAAACTAAATACAACCTTAAAAAAGATAGGTTATGCACTTGTGTTAATTCTTTAAAATAGTGTTTATGTATCTTGAAAATAACAATACTGCATTTATAATTAATCAGGCAGGTTTGAAAGATAAAATAACACAAGTTTTGTTCCAGATGTGAAAACAAGATGAACAAGGTTGTGTTGATTTGACTAAAACTGTGTTATCGGGTCGATTAACAAATGTCCCACAAAAAATACCTGCATAAAAACTGTTTAGAAAAATGCTGCTTTTTAAATATGTTTGATTATTTGCCTTTTGTAGATTATTGCCAGGGTGAGTGTGGACAACCGAACCCGGGCTCTGGTTCAGGCTCTCCACCGGGCTTCAGACGTGAGGGTCTACATCAGCAGGGTGGAGGACTTAAGTTACCACCTTCTGGAGTTCCCAGACACTTGTGGTGTTGCTGTAAAGGTGAGAAATCTATCAAGATCATTTCACATAAGTTTGAAATAACTGGGGGCAAAAAAACAAGATTTATATATAATTGTGTCGCAACGATTATTCGACGTAATCGATTATGTCGACACAGATCTTTAATGTCAGCACATCTTATTAATTAACTATTAATGTTTATTTGTAGTTGCAATGCAATAAGTAGTGAATATAATCGCTTCTGTTGTCTGTGGTTTTGTTGTTTACTAATGAAGAAGGACATGCCAGCCTGAAAACTACAGAAGAAGAAGGCGCAGGCAGGTAGTATCAATGGGCAGTCTATTGTTGGAATGGAAAGAGGATCATGATGAAGAGGCAAAAACATGAATAAAAAGCAAGATCTAAATTGTCGAAAGTTAACCAGACTTTTTGTGCTGAAACCTTATTTGAACCCTTGTTTGAAATCCAGCAAGATTTCAAACAAGATTGATTATTATTTTTTACATTTATGCACTTGAATGTCATTTTATCTAAAGTTATTCTTTAATTTATTTTGGATTGCTCTCCGTCCCTTCGCATTATGGCATGATTTAAATAATGAAGGCCTGTGAGGATTCCAACAAAACCGCTAACATTTGGTCACTACTGAATGTCCAAGCTCTAGTGGCATATTGCAAGGTCATGTGATCCAAGGTGGCTGCCACCGTAGCCAAACCTTACACTACCCAAAGCTCATGACCATAGATGAGGGTAGGAATGTAGACTGACTGGTAAATCGAGAGCTTTGCCTGCTGGCTCAGCTCTCACTTCACCACGACAGACCAGTACAGCGCCCGCATCACTGCAGACGCAGCACCAATCCGCCTGTCGATCTCCCGCTCCGTTCTTCCCTCATTTGTGAACAAGACCCAGAGATACTTGAACTCCTCCATTTGAGGCAGGACCTCTTCCTCGACCCGGAGGCGGCACGCTATCGTTTTCCGGCTCAAGACCATGGTCTTAAATTTGGAGGCACTGATCCTCATCCCGACCGCTTCACACTCGGCTGCGAGTGCCAGTGAGAGCTGGAGATCACGATCTGATGAAGCCAATAGGACCACATCATCCGAAAAAAGCAGAGACGTGATCCTAAGGTCACCAAAAAGGATCTCCTCAACGCATTGGCTGCACCTAGAAATTCTGTCCATAAAAGTTATGAACAGAATCAGTGACAAAGGGCAACCATAGCGGAGTCCAACTCTCACGGCAGTATGATGGCAGTAGCTCAGTAATGAAAGCAGCTATTGAGTTAAATTTTTTGTAAGCAAATAATTATGTATAATTATGCATTTGTGGATCGCGAGCGATCTTGTGATATCATGGAGAGATCAAGAATTTGTTGCTTTTTGCCATTTTTACTCTGCATATGCAAGGGGGACATCAGCAAGGTTGGCGTCAAGTTCTATGTTGTTATTTATTTATTTATTTATTTACAGAAATCAGGCAGAGGGGTGCAGAAAAGCAGCTAAGGGGGAGGGGGGTTTCTGCTTGGGGAGTTCTGCACGTCATCACGTTGGGGGTGACAGGAGGTAGGGGTATGTCCTGTAACTGGTGGGTTACCGGTTTAAACCCCTGCTCCATCTGTCTCAGTTGTGTCCTTGGGCAAGACACTGGCTGTGTCCAAAACGGCAGGCCGGGTCCTCCGAAGGCCGAATTCGTCGGCCACATACCTCACAGCGCCGCGACGAAGGACGTCCCAAACCGAAGACTCCTCCGATGCGGCCGACAAATGCATCCTTCCATTGGCCTGAATTTAAGGACTGAGCTGATGGATCCTTCCCGGCCCAGCATATCCCATAATGCATTGCGGCCCGACCGGAGATTTTTTTATGCTAGTAATGGCGGATGAAGCGAGAGAAAAAAATACGTTTTTAAAAAAATATGGCGATATAAAATTAAAAAATTTCTAGCAATTGTAATTCTAATACTTTTATCATTTGTATGGACATGTTTTTAAATATTATTTTTGTCATAAAAAACATGAAATAAACATGCACCTACAGTGGGTCAATTAGTTCTTCAAATGTTACCTTTAAATTAATTTTATTGTTTTGTGATATTAACAATGCTAATATATTTATATTTTTCTAATTTTGATCTATTTTTGCTTCTATTTAGCGTCGTCATGGTTGCTAGGTGACATGACATACGCCGGGGTAAGGAGGGGAGGCTAGACCGTCCAAATTCACAGCCTCTTTTTTTTCCAGTCTTCCCGGTTTACCAAGGACCCGGCCCACCTCGATCGGGTAGTCTGGGTCCTCCGGAGGACCCGGCCCGTCGTTTTGGACACAGCCGTTGACGTCGCTCGAACAAAATCGAACGGCTGTTTGAAACAAATGGCTTGTCGAGCTTCTGATCCCTTCAAAGAGCCATTCGTCCCATCTCTAAAGTACAAAACAGTGTTTTACTGGGTCAAACTGAAATGTGGGCTTTTAAATTCAAACACATGAACTCTTCAGTGAGCTAAAATATAAAAAAAATGCCCTACAAACTTGTGTATTATTGCACACTGGGTTTGACATTAGAGTTGGCAGCTGGAGGTTGGTATTTATTTATTTATTTAGTGTAAGAGCCTATTGTCAGCTCGGTGCAGACTGAGTGCTGCTGTGTGTATTTAAGTCACGGCCTTACCTTTGACAATGTGGAGAATTTGTTCTGAACTGAACTTTAGACATTTAGACTACAGGCACTGTTAATTCTGTAAAACCACCACCAGTTTTTCCCTCAACAGAGATTTATCTCCAGCCAGCCTCAGCTAGACTAATCGTATATCCATCCTGTTTAAATTTCACCAAACCCTTCAGCTTTCTTTTTGACAGAAACCTAGTTCGAGACATTCTGTTCTTGAAGTGCTTTGAGTGTTTTTCATTTCCCCTTCTGACTCCTGCTGTGTATGTCTGTGGTGTGTTCTTCAGGAGAAGGTCATCCCCTGCCTCCTGCGTCTGAAGCAAGCCAACGACCCCGGCTTGAGGGCAGCTGTCAGAGAAGCTCTCGCATTAGTCGGCTATCAGGAACCTGTTCAAGGTCGAGGAATACGGATCTTATCCATAGATGGAGGAGGTTTAAGGTACAAGTTCAGCTCTGCTTTTTTTTCCCCTTGTCTTTTATGTAACATATACCTCGTGATTTATTTGAAAGGAGATCAAAATTTAGATTCTCAAGATTGTCAAATTAGGTTTTAAAAAGCAAAACATTGTTTTTTATAAATGTTGTAATTTTGAGTAATAATTATTTAACATTGTGTATGTTTGACGTTGTTTAGGGGACTTCTTGCTCTTCAGACCTTACACAAGCTGGAAGCCCTGACTGGGAAACGCATTTACCAACTGTTTGACTATATTTGTGGAGTCAGCACTGGTATGTTGTCCTCATGTCCTACTTCTGTGTGCAGACAGAAGCATGCATGTGGATTATTAAAGCAGAGTGCAACACTGACACCAGATAACTCACTGACCCAGTTGTTCCTCTGCTCTTGTTTTGACCTCAATTTCACCACCAGCAGCAGTGACGTCAATTTTACCACTTTGTACTTCAGCGAATGTCAAAGAAAACTATATAAAAAGGCAGTAATATTATTTTTTATTCTTAGAAATTTATTGATAACTAGAGTTTAAATTCTGATAGTTTCCTTTCAGTACATCTGGTCACCACAAGAGGGTACTGTTGACCATCTTTGAATCAGTTTTAGTCTGCTGCTTTGCTTTTTTATGTATTAGAAAACAGAATTTTGTTTAGAGAACATATTCAGTTGGAATAAAAAGCTGATATGTATTTCTGTTTATATTTTGGCTCCAACTAAAGGTTGTTACACAGCAATAATTCATTCTGTCTGTCATGAGAGGGAGCAGATGTTCTAACACTGAGAAGTCTGATCATATTAATTCAAATCACTTCCAACAAATGTCTCATCAAGGGGTAGTTCTATTTCTAACAGGCATTTTTTCAGTACATTCTCCTCCTATTAGTGTTACAAGTGTTATTGCATTCCCCAATTCATTATTAAAACAAGGCTAACATTGTTTGAAGGAATGCACATCATCTGCCACCTAGCATGTCAATGTTTTGAACAAAGATCCAGCATAATCTGTGTCAGCTACTATCACACAAGACTTTATTTCATTATCTGTAAAGGAAATTACAGAGTTATACCCATTTTTGTGTTGATTTACTTTTTTGTGGTGACCATGTTTGATCAGGTTGATACCAAAATGTAATCAGCAGTAGAAATACAGTGATTATTTTCAGAGAGTTTCATTAAAATATATTGAAGAGTTTATGAGATGTTTTATTTATATGATAAATACACTGCCTGGCCAAAAGAAAAAGTTGCCACCAAAAAAAGGCAACACACTAATATTTCACTGGATCACCTTTAGCCTCGATTATGACATGCATTCGCTATGGCATTGTTTGGATAAGCTTCAGTGTTTCCCCTAAGAAATTGGTGTGTGTGTGTGTGTGTGTGTGTGTGTGTGGGTGGGGGGGTTGTTTATAAAAACATAATTTTACATGACTCACCTTCAATTATAGTAATAAATTTACATTGTGAATATTTAATTGCCTAACTACATCCTAAAGTTAAGGACTCCTGATAATTATCAATAACTATTTATTTATTTATTTATTTATTTATTTATTTATTTATTTATTTATTTATTTATTTATTTATTTATTTATTTATTTATTTATTTATTTATTTATTTATTTATTTATTTAAGTGGTCAGAACTCTGTGCAGCACCAGATGGATCTGAGTCCAGAGTTCTCAGTTTGTCACATCTAGAGTCACACAGAAGAGCTCCAGAAGGTTTCAGAGTGTCGATGGTTGATTGTCTGTTTTGTGTCCCTGATGGAGACTAGAGACCTGTCCAGGTGTCCCCTCCCTTCACTCGAAGGCAGCTGGGACAGTCTCCAGCTGATTAGTCTGACCCTGATTAGGAACAAGGAGGACAGGGGGAGGATTTTTCTTTATAGCAGGAAACAGACATTTAATTATAAAACATGATTTATTTTATGTTAATCTGAATCAGTTTAGTGTTGTTTGTAAATATATTTGACAGTTTTGAATCAATGAACACATTTGTAATGTTTGTTCAAAATAAACCTGCTTCTATGACTTCTGTAACATGTTTTGAATAAAATATCAGTAAAATCCTAAATCATGCCCTTTCTAATAATCATTAGAACTAGAAGAATTTTAAATCTTATAGATATAAAGAATAACAGTTGCAACTGTCAAAAATAAAACTTCCTCTCAGTCACTGAGATGAATTTATTTACCACATTTTAAAGAAAGATTATAACCTGGGTCCTTAAGGGTTAATGCTCCTGAACAGGACTGTCTGACCTGCAGTGTGTGTGAGTGACAGAGGAGAGAAGCTCAGCCCATGACCTGTACAGCAGCTCATTCTGCCTGGATTTATGGTGTTTTGAGTTCACAAACTACTTGTTAAATTTTTAAAAGTTGAGGACATTACATCAGCTTGTAGCTGCGCTGGTGATCAGCACTGTTTATTAGAACATGACCAGACTTGCGGGAACCTGGTCACACACAGGGTCTGTGTTGGTGATTCTTGCTGTAATATATAAAAGTAATTATTGATAAGGTAACCATGCTGTGGCTTCACCTGTTTCATCTTCCTTTAAAGAAAGAAAAAGTAGTTTGCAAAGCTGTCGCATCGGTGCTACGTGATTTAAAAAAAGAGTTTTCATCGCGCGTCTAATCACACACACAGACGTGTCTTTCTACCTTTGTGAGGACCGCACACAGCGCTCACAGCCTCACTCTGCACTGTCTTTTTTCCCCAAGTTTGATGAGAGGTGGATATGGAGGGGAGCAAAAATAACTCTTGACTTGATCTGGTCTTGTTTAAATAAAAATGACTACATGCCATGAAATTCTTGGAGGGGCGGTCGCCGGGAGCTCGAATAATGGTAGGGGAACCACTGCTTCTTCAATGTCAACAGATTTATTTCCATCCAGTGTTGCATTAATTTTTCACAAAGATCTGTCATTGATGATGGGAGAGTCTGACTGCTGCACAAAGCCTTCTCCAGCACATCTCAAAGATTCTCAATGGACTCTGTGGAGCCAGTCCATGTGTGAAAATGATGTGTCATCACAATTCCAGCCTCATGACTCCTGGCATTGTCATCTTGGAATATGGCCATGCCATCAGGGAAGAAACAGTCCATTGATGGAATAACTTGGTCATTCAGTATATTCAGGTAGTCAGCTGACCTCATTCTTTGAGCACAGACTGTTGCTGAACCTGGACCTGACCAACTGCATCGACCCCACATCATAGCATCCAAGTGGCAACTTTTTTTTCTTGGCCGGGCAGTGTAATTCTTCTTAACTACAAAATAATTAAAATGTCATTCCATTTTCTCCTTTTTAATGTTTTGCTGTGTATTTTCCTCCAGGTGCAGTCATTGGGTTCATGCTCGGCCTGTTCCAAATTCCTGTAAAAGAGTGCGATGATCTTTACCGGAAGCTGAGTTCAGATGTTTTTAAACAGAATGTGATCTTAGGCACCGTGAAGATGGGCTGGAGACATGCCTTCTATGACAGCGAACCCTGGGAGAACATCTTAAAGTCAGTTTCACTGTTGAATAGATCACAAAAACAGTCAATTTAAATACAACAAAGGAGGTGCTGCAAAACATGTTAAACCAAAAAAATATTATTTTTTTTGCTGTATTGTTTAAATAAATACATGATGATTATTTTCTGTATGCAGTCTTCTAAAATACATGTGGTTAAAGGAACAATATAACTTTATTTAGTGCTGATTAAAACAAGAAATTTATTAAGCAAATCTTAAACACTTTTTATTAAATATGTTTTAACTTCCATGGTGACAGACTTTCATGTACCTTTTCCAGTGTGGTTTTATAGAGCACTTAATCAGGCTTTCTGAAGAGAACTATTTACTGATTATTTTTTGGATTATTTGCAGCTTTTTTTCTCATTATCAACACTCTTTGCACATTTTCAAGAAAAAGTGCAAAAATAATATTGTATGACAAAAGCTATTTGATCTTTAGCCTACTTTCCCCCAAAAAAGTTCTGTTTTCTGAATGCAAAAACAAAGTGCTCAAATCAGCAAACTTACGTTTTATGCTAAGTTGTCTGTTATTTACAGACACAACATTGATTTATCCCTTCAGTTAGGATTTTTTTTTTTGTGTTTGCCTGGGTCCTTTAAAAGCAAAATTAAAAACAAATGAGGGCTGGCTCAAGACTTTAAAATATTTCTCAGTTTTCACGAAAGAAAGCAACTAAAAAAAAATCACTTTTTTTATGTTTCCACAGGGAGAAAATGGGCTCTAACCTCATGGTGGAAACTACAAGAAACCCAAAATGCCCTAAGGTGAGTTTCAGAAGATGTTTTATTCTCCCAGCTTAATCCTGCAACTCTTTGCTTTGCCATATTTACTGGGATGTTAGAGAGAAAACTCCTCTCTCCATCTGTGTTGCAGTAAGATAGACAGGTAAATGGATATTGCACTCTAAAACCAAACGTCAGCGTGCCTGACGAATTACAGATTTTAAATGACAGCAGATTACACCGAGGCTCAGGGAGCAGAGAAGATAATAAACCGATCTGTCAGAACGTCAGCCACGATATCAGTCCTGCATTTTTCATCTGTTTCAACATTAAACCCAGCCTTGTCCTTTTTAAAAGAAAGTCACCTTGAATGCCATTTCCTGTTTGCCTGCAGGTGGCGGCAGTGAGCACCATCGTGAACCGGGGTCTCCCTCTGAAGGCTTATGTGTTCAGAAACTACAACCTGCTGCCTGGGGTGCGTTCGCACTACCTGGGCGGCTGCCACCATCAGCTGTGGCAGGCCGTCCGGGCCACATCAGCTGCACCCGGGTATTTCCAGGAGTTCAGACTTGGAAATGATCTCCACCAGGTCAGTCACATCACTGTCAGCGTGGAAGCAAAGGTTATTATGCACTCGATGGCTAAATTACACAGTTTATCTAAAAATATCTCCTGAAAGTTCTGTTTCATATCGGGTAGTTAAATATGCTTTAAAGAAGTAGATTGATTGCTTGTATTTTCTTCTGCAAAGCTTTTCTTGTTATTGCCCGCTGCTGAAGGTAATAATGTATTTATATACTGTCTATATACAGTATGTGTGTTTGTTTGTAATTTTAGCAAAATATCTCACAATCCAGGGGATGGATCTTAATGAAACTCCCAGAAAGTAATCACTGGGTGTGAATTTACAACTGATTAACTTTTAGTCAGCCAGTTTCAAAACACAAAAATGTCTGTAACTCAGTCAGTTTTACAGATATTTGAGTTAAAACTTGATGTGGTAGTAGCTGAGAGGCGTCTCCAATATATATTTGGAGCACTGCTCATTGCACGACATCTTTGCTTATAACTTTATCAATAACTGTTTGCATCAACTCCATTTTGTCTGTTAGCGTAATTTATCAAGAAACCCTATGTATATACCTATTAAACTTCAAACTGGATATACATCTATAACTGATTAACCTTTGAAGTCACTCCATTTCAAGGTCACTACAGCTAATCAACATTAGCTTACACAAAAGTGACCATAATTTATTCAGTTTTGTTGGATATTCAGCTTAAAGCTGGTGCAGTTATAGCTGAGTCATCCTCAACTCATACTTCAAGTTATAACAAGCCACACATGATTTACTAGTATTGCATCATGCATAACGTCCATTACTAGGTTTGACCAAAACAGCTACAACTTAAACATTCAAGTCATAAGATAATTTTAGTTTACAACTTTGACATGAAAGGTGGTGGGCGATATGCAGTCCTTAAAGTGTCTGTGATGTGCTTATTCTGTAAATACAAAACGTCTAAGAAAACGTCTTTATGTTTAAGAAAATTGAGATATTACACATGATTTTACCCATTTTGTAACATAACTGGCATATTTTCTTTGGAACTGAAGTGTAACAGGAAGTGTCATCAGAGGGGAACTCCCTGGTTTTTGTTGTTTATGGAAACAATATTATTTGAACTCTGACTCTTCATCTCTCTCTGACAGTGACTCAAAACCAGATTCTTCTCTACAGTCTGTGTTGTTTGCCGTTGTAGCAATGCTCTGTTCACTTTCAGACGTTCCCCTTTGTCATCACTTCCTGCTGCGTCACGTGAAAATACCTCAACTGTTCATCTCAGTGGCGTGAGATTTCTTTTGCAATATGTTATCAGTGTTATCTTTTCAAAAATGCGTTCATATTTGTTACAAAAATTTGATGCCACGGGCACTTTAAATCATATGCTGCATTTTCTATACAGTAACATTAAAAAAATCTGTTCAACTGTGTATTACTACCTTTTGTCTGATCTTTGCATGTTAGCCTGTACTGATATTTACTATTTGTAGATTTTTGTACGGACTTACTTTAACCAGAGCTTTCTTTCACATTTCTGCTCCGTGTGACAACTGAACCTTGGTCCTCTGCTGCTCACTGCGGAGCTTATTGTTGGGCTGCTGAATTAAAATGCCCTGTGCAGTCAGTGCTGATGTTGGAGTGTTTGAAGGATTTCAAAAAGCCTAATGAGAAAAATCCTCTGCACACTGAGTGGGAAGGAGGAACTCCATTTCCTTTTTGTCAGTGTTTATCTCCAGTCAGCTACATTTTGAGTGGCGAGCAAGGCGGCAGAGTCATACTGAGACTCACTTTAAATCCATCTCCAGGAAAGTGGTTTGCATTAGCCACCAGAAACCTAACGAAGCACTGGTCTGTTTTAGCATTTCGCTGATCAATATGCAAGTTTCCTCTTGACTCAGGCAGGAAACACAGGTGAGACTATAAAATCCAGAAAGAAAACTACATAATAATAAACAGTTATTTTAGTTTAACAAATTAAAAGCAGTTTTCTCCTCACTGTTAGGATATTTATTTGATGTAGCCTGTGTTGAACCTACAACATTCAGGTTCTCCTCAAATTGGCGTTCAACATGCAGATGTAATGTGCAGCATCTTTACTTACGCAGACACAACACTCGTCTTTACATCAAAGGCTGCATCGTGCACAGAGAGCCTCAGCACCTCTAATTGGATGCTGTGTCCGTTGTGTTGGTGAACAGGAAGGTGCAGGAGGAGAGAATAAAAGAACGGTTGATGAAAACCCACCTATGAAGGGAGATTTCCCCAGCATGCTATCCAGCAGATCTCCCTCTACTTTGAGATACATAAATTATCCCAACAGTGTCTCTCTCTCTCTCTCTCTCTCTCTCTGTCTCTGTCTCTGTCTCTGTCTCTCTCTGTCTCTCTCTCTCTGTCTCTCTCTCTGTGTGTCTCTCTCTCTCTCTCTCTCTCTGTCTCTGTCTCTGTCTCTGTCTCTCTCTCTGTCTCTCTCTCTGTCTCTCTCTCTCTGTCTCTCTCTCTCTGTGTGTCTCTCTGTCTCTCTCTCTCTCTCTCTCTCTCTCTCACTCTCACACACTCTCACACACATGCTGTGAATGTGTTTCATCTGCTTTGTTGGAAAGAAGACAGGCAATCTAATTATGCAACAGCGTCACCAAGCTCTGCTAATTTATTTCAATTTATTTATATAACACTAATTTACAGCAGAAATGAAGTAAACAGGTCCAATTTAAACTCTGTTACTTGCGGTTTATTTAAACCAGTTCATTTTAATTAGGAAGATCTCAGTTTAATCTAATTATAATGCAGTTTATGAAACCATCTAAAATAAAATATGTAATTATGCTTCGATGGTTTGTAAGAATTTCGTCATATTAGATTGTTTATTTCCCCTTAAATGGGACCATATTTGTAAGGAAAATTAGGGCTGCACATTATTGGAAAAAAATAACATTTTGATGTTTTCTGACCCTGCAATGCATACTGTAATATGAAAAAATACAAGAATTTTCAAGAATTACTTATGCTGCTAACTTGTTGACGATGAACCTGTACTCATCTTACCTCTTTATTATGCAAGTTACAAGCATGTTTTTTGTTGGTATTTGAAAGATATTTGTGTTAACTTTTATTAGAGCTTGCCATAGTAAATGAATGAAAGGAAGGAATGAGGAATGAATTGCTTTACAATGCCTTCCTCTGCTAATCTCCCTAACCAACCAACCTCACCAATTGAAAATGTAAACAAATCTTCCAATTTTGGTCCCCAATCGAACCGAGTCTACTGGACTATCTGGTGTGAATACAACCTTAGTCCACTTGTTTGGTCCGGATTAATAGCAGACTTTATTTTATGGTTTGTTTGGAGTGGTTTGTATTGATGTTGGGCTTTTTTGCAAGTGGACTATGATTTATAAACTAGCCATGCAGGTGACGGTCAGTGCTCCCATTGGACAGAAATGACGGGAGCAGGACAGAGCACAAGAGCAGCTCACTTAACTGCATTTTTGCAATAATATACTTCAAACTTTGGGACAGCGTCGTCAAATGTGTGCTGCAATGCAAAGGAGATGAGATGATTGTTTGTGGCAAAGTGGTAGCATTAGCAACACTGAAGTGCTAATTGTTATCATGTTGCTTAGCAATGGTGGCTTGTGAAGTCCAAAAAGGTGAACGTTTCCTGTAGTTGGTTCGGTTTGAGGCCGGTCTTTATTCACACCAGAAGCGAACTGCACTAGAGATAGTTTGGAAGCGAACTGAGACCATCTCTTAAATGGGTCTTGGTTACTTTAATGAAAGTTATTATTTATTTTGGACTTGCAAAGCTACGTCTACAGCCTGCAGGGCAGGTTAACAGCCCCTCATGCTGGAGAGAGGCTGCTGTTTTAAGTTATTTGTACATTAGTTGTTTATTTAAAAGATGACTTGTAGTTTAATTTGTATTTAATTTCATTTTTAAATAATCAAGTGTATGAATGTTAGAAATAAATATGATTAAGTTATTAAACTTAAGGTCATTTTGTAAGTGTGATCAGGTGAGATGAGATGTGCAGTGCAGCTGGACCAGGAGCTGCACTCACATGAAGCACAGATGGACCTTGTGACAAAAATAACAGTGACTTATCGATTAATCGAAAAACTAATCGACAGATTAATCGATTATCAAAATAATTATTAGGTGCAGCCCCAGTATCCGTACTGATTGGCTAAGATGACATAATAGTATCTTATGTAATGCAATAGAATTATTTATTAGGAATGATTGATCCATGCACACTGTTGGCTACTGTATTCTTACTCTCATCTCTGAATGTGACTCTGATTTCGAGAAGCTAAAAAGCCAAAATGGAGTTGAGCGCCCCTTGCTTCCAGAGCTGTCATTCATCTCAGATTATTTTATAGTCTGGCAAAAATATCTTGAGATGTCCTGCTTAGCTGGGTGATGGGGTTGACGTGTGAGTGGTGGTGGGAGGATTCTTCTGGTGCTGATCATAATGATTCACTTTCATGCCAACTGTGCTTTATACCAGTGTCAGGTCAGACTTTTGTTTGGAGCCTGGTAGGTTGGCCACTTACACAAGAACACTCTAGTTTTAAAAAGACACAGTGCTGCAATAAATACTTTGCTCACCACCTAAAACTCTAGGTTCTGGGTGTTGTGAATTAAATGTGAGATGCCATGTGAAATCTCTTGAAATTTCAGGATTTACTCAAGGCAAAATCTGGGAATTTTGTTTTCATGAAATGCTGGGAACTCTGTTCCGGTTCCAATACATTTGGTAAATTGTAAATGGCCTGAACTTTTATAGTGCTTTATCAAGTCCAAGGACTCCAAAGCTTTTTACACTGCCGTCATTCACACATTCACACACCGATGGTGGTAAGATACATTGTAGCCACAGCTTTTCTGGAGCAGACTAACAGAAACGAAGCTGCCATGCACCGGTACCACCACCACCAGCTGGCAAGGTGGGTGGAGTATCTTGCCCAAAGACACAAGGGCTGAGACAAACAGAGCAGGGGTTGGAACTGGCAACTCATTGTT